CACCTTAACCGTTAAACCATTATTATTAATTGTATTATATTTAAATTTATATATACTATACTTATACTATATACTATAACCATTGTTCCTGAGTGGACCATCATTCTTCAGTAAGCACCAAAGCTGAGTTGCTGAAGGACCAGCGGAGCTTATGCCAACATTCTGCAAGTTCATGCCCAGTTTATCATCAGTTCGAAGCAACTTCTGAACAGAGTCTTCGGGATAGCTTGGAGGCTGAGGCTCTTGCGCATCTCCAATATCTGAGGGTTTGGCCAGCACCATGCGTTTCCGTGAGCTGATGTCGATTGTTTTGCCACGCTTGAAGTTCACGCACTTGGCCAGCTGTTGCCAGTGCATTCTCTCATTCTGTGGCAAGGCATAAAAACTCTCCTTCAAGTCCTTCCAACCGGCTACACTGAACCAGTTGCGAGAAGGAGCAGACCCAGCCGATGCTTCTTTGGAAGCTTCCATCACATGTTTGCGGTACAGGCTGATAGCACTGGCATTGCGAGCAGCGGCGACTTTGGTATCCAAAATCTCAAGACGGGCAACTTTCTTCGCTTTGCCAGTAACCTGCGCAATTGTTTTGCGCTTCAATCCCTGACATAGCCGCTGCGCAAAGGTTTGCAAACGCAAATGAGTTTGTCTGGCTTCGTCGTTGATTGAAGACACCATGAGACTCACAAAGCTCATTCTGCTACTCCCACTTGCGAGGGCTTTGTGGTGGCCGTGCTTTCTTTCAGCGTCAGCAATGGTTCCGGTGGTCGCTGAAGCAAATGCAACCAGTACTGCCCCCCACCTGGAATTCCAAGTTGTGGGTTCAGGTGTAGTAACGTATAGTATAGGTATAGGTTTCGCAGGTTTTGTGTTTTAGTCCAAAGTTCAGGCATCTCGTTCAACAGGATATGGATATGTTTTTAGTTATTTTATACTGCTACAATAGAAACACCTTGGTTTGGCAAACATTCAGCAATAGAGCAATTGCATATAGCGGCATAGCGTATCAACTTAGACTTATACTTTGACTTAGACTTATACCCTATGCCTACACTACCAGGCTCCAGACTCTAGCCCTCCATGCAGTCTCAACTAGTTATTCTATGTTATTCTCAATGCCAACACATGTGAAATGCACAGTGCAATTGCAAATGTAAAGTTGAGAGAAAACGTAAAGCAGCTCAGCCATGAAACTTATCTGAACGCAAAAGCTCTTCACCCGAGATGTTGCGTGCTTTGAGCTTGCGTGCAAAGCCAGGGCGGACACAGCAACCACTCAGCTGGTCCCAAGCCAGAGCTGTTGCCTGTTTTTGCTCAGGCGTCGCTGCAGGGTCTGCTAGGATGCAAAGTTTGAAGGGCATCTGAAACAAAGCATCAATGTGGCGTCTCTGAATCCAGGAAATAGCCAGCATCACCAGCCTCCTGGTGTGGTTTATTTGTGATTTTGTTTTATATTGTATTGAATATCTATTGTACAACAGCAACAACAACAACAACAGCTCACTAGCATCACTTTGGAATAAGTTCCATGCACAAAACACTGGATATGCCAGATACAGATACATGAACGACTGCACACCGAAAAACTGCGCTGGAATGCCTGTGTGTGGACGGGATACCACAGGTATTGTGAAGTAGTCAACTTCATACTTTGGTAACTCTTTAGATACAATCCCGGCCTCAGGTGGCGTACCTGCTTAACCTCTGAAGCTTCCCAGTCCATGATGTTTGAGTACCCAAACTTTCGATACAAAAGCTCCAATCTGGAGGCATCAGTCAGGAGAAGGGATGACAAATACTGGCAAGCCGCGACCAATGCTGAGGAGTGCTCATTGCAAAGGCAGAATAATGCAGGTTCCGTGTTTGCGGCATCGGAGAACCGCAGAAACTCCATTGTCAAAAACCTCAAAGGTTCATCCACAAGGAGGAGGATTAGTAGCCTCAGACCAAGATCCCCTGTTGCTAACTCTGAAACGAACTGTTCAGTCTTTTTTGCACGTTTTCCAGCAATCTTTGCGTACTCCTGTGTTGCAGCCAATGCTGGGTCGATATCATCCTCAGGTTCCCCACTCTGCTTAGGCTTTTTCTGTAGAATTTTCAGAGCTGGAAGCCACCGCGGCACCACGGAAGCAAGCCAAGAGCTACAAAGGAATCCATTGATGAGAAAACTCAAGCAGCTCCAAAGTTTTGTCCACTTGGCAGGGGCCGGAGTTTCAGGCACACTATGAAGAGCAAATGCAATGAGCGAACTCGCAAGCTTGGATTTGGATTCCTCGTCGTCTTGGCAACACCAGTTGCTTGGGGGGCCAGTCCGGAAGCAACGGTGCTCACACTTCTTTCCTGTAAGGTCGCCGTTCCACATACGCAAAAACTCAGCAACGTGTTTGTCAAATTGACAGTGTGCAACATCTTTCTCCTGCAGGTCTGCCATCTCGGCATGCTTTGTTTTTGATTGGGTGAGCGCTTTGCGCACTAGCGCTTGCATCTGTGCAAGTTCCTGTGTGTACAGCGGCAACTCTGCTCCAGCGCTTGTAGCCACAGAGATCTCAGCTGTTTCAACAACATACTGGCGCACAGCTTCCTTCAACTTCGACCAGTGCGTTCCTGCCTGGAGGAAATGACAGAATGAAAAGAATGATGAAATAAGCTTTGGTCCACTCGCACCAACGCAGGATGTTTCCACCAAGTTTGCCTGGTGTGCGTGGCAACATACCATCTCTTGCAGGAGGGTCTCATGTTGATGGCGCTGAAGTCTGTAGTTGAATAAACGCACGTTTGCAGATGCACTGTCGGTTTCTTGTATGTGCACCTGCTCATGCGAGCCCTTCAATATGAGATTTTCCATACTCCTTCGCTTGGTTCGAGTCAGAAAGAACGTTTTGAGTAACAAGTGTTCACAGAAAAAACGGATCAGAGCTAGAGCTACAGCAAATCCATCAGTTGACGGTAATGGGCCCTGCTCCTTATGGTATGGAACATGGGGTGGCGCTCCAATGCAAAGAATATATTCTCCGCGCTCGCTGTCAACACCAACACTGGTGGGCATGCCTGAGCAAACAAGTAGATTCAGGGCAACTGACTCCAGCGGTTGCTTCTTGGAGTGTTAAATCCTTGAACAAAAACTTGCCTTATTTATGCCATGCTGAGAACAAAAACCTTACTCTAGAAACCATATGTCGTTGAGAATAGCGGCTTTATATGTTTTGTGACGACTATATCATAGTTTGTATAGAAGGCAGCCAAGGTGCAATTTGCATCTTCAGCAATCGGGGTGCTTCTCCAGGGCAGGAAGGGGGCCAAGCCACAAAAAGAGAGTGCCTCACCACACAAACTTGCCAAGACCCCACTTCTCCTTTGACAGTGATGATCTGAGAAGTTTCATCAAATCCCTCTCGAAGACATGTCACCAAGGGCTTTTGCATCTTGGTCAGGAGGTATATTCTGGCTAAGACGCTTGCTTGCCGGGCCAAAACTGACCCGGCTACCACTGATCTCATGTAGCTAAGAGTACTTGGCGCTGCGCCCAACGAAAGTGCTGCAGATGCACGAGCCTTGATGCGTTTACCTCGCTTCCTATCTGCTCCAAATGCGGCAATCAGAAAGTCAGACATTGACCAGCGTGATGTAAATCGATTTCCTTTGCTCTTCATGCGGCACACACTGTGTCGAATGAGGCCACCTTTGGTGAATAATCCGCCTCTTTGACCACGGACCATCTTGATGCCAGAATCTGAACGAGCACGCTTCTGCAAGGAAGTGAGCAGGTCTATCACATCTTGCTCGGTTTTGGCTTGCTTTATCTTGCTTCTGTGGATTTGCATGGCCATGTTCCATGCACGCCTTTCAACTGCACTGCCTCTTGAATTTACCTTCACTCCTGCCAAGGGCTTGGGCCGCTCAAATCTGCCCTTAGGTCCATGAACCGTGACAGCCTCAGAATCCTTTGAATTGAGCGCCTCTCTTGATGCAGCAACTGAAGCAACTGCTTGACACTGCAAGGATGATGTTGCACTGCTTGACACTGCAAGGAAGCTGCCAGGCTCATCATCAAATACATCCAAATAGTCCATAGCAGTCGTGGCGACATGTGCTAGTACTAGTGACTAACGGATTCAAGAAACATCTCTGCCGTTTAGATGCTGTGTCTTATAAATCAAAAATTGCCAAGAACGGTTTTGCATCAGAGACTTTTGATGTTGGGCTTCAACAAAATATCTGGATCTCAAAAAAATCGTTTGTCATCTGGACTTTCCATGTTTGAACCTGCTCACACCATGCACAAGTCATCTGACTTCAATCACAGCTCAGGACGACCGCCCATGTGGTACTTGAGTGGGAGAGGGTGGACGAAAGGTAGGTGAGAGAGAAGAGAGAAGAGAGGGAGAGAGAGAGAGAGAGGCAAAGAGACAGAGAGAGAGAGAGATCCGTGGGATTCGAAGAGCAGCAGCAGCAGCAGCAGCAACAGCAGCAGCAACAGCAGCAGCAGCAGCAGCAGCAGCAAAGCAGCAGCAAAGCAGCAGCAGCAGCAGCTGAGAAGCTCAAGACGAATCCAGGGTGAAAGTGTGTCAGTAGTGGGCTGGGAGTGTGTCAGTCAAAGGGTTGGAAGCGTGTCAGTAGTAGGGTGGAAGTGTGTCAGTAGTGGGCTGGGAGTGTGTCAGGAGGAGGGGTGGAAGCGTGTCAGTAGTAAGGTGGAGAGCTAACGCACTGACACAAGGTTCAAACAATTCTCACACAGAAGCGATATCATTTCCATGGTAGAGCAACCCCCTAACCTTAAAGCTAAATGACCCAAGGTGGGCTTCGGGGACATCAGAATGATTCTTGATTATTGGCCGGCTTAGGCAATCATGGGGCATTATTGGTGGAACATGGTGGAACACAATACGCATCAATGCACCCTGATGGGGTCATCAATCATCTTCGAGATGGTAAACCTTTGCTGTCTTCCCACCTCCGGAAGCCTGTCTCCTCCTTCCGCCTCCCGAGTTCCAGTTCCAGGCGACTTCTGAAGCGCTAAATGCACCAAGCCCTCTTTCAGAACGTGTGCCGCGACGGACTTCCTCGGCAAAGGGGCTGGCGACGCCAAACTCCAAACTCCAAACCCAGTCGCTTCAGCCCGAAAGAGGCACTACTAGGAACAAAGGGCATCGCTACTGGCTCCTGGCCTTACTACTATAGGAGCAAGAAGCCACTAGGATACTGGCCGAAAGCACACATCGCATCGAAGCGACATCCAACCGACGGTCGAAAAGAACTGCTGCAAACCACGCGTCTCTTCCAAGGCCCATGTGATCAAACCCGAGGCTTCACGGGGTAGTGGCTGACCAACGTCTTCCATACTGATTGCATATTCCACCTAGATAGGCGCTGGGAGCATTGACAAATCTATCAGAACTTGCTTTCAGCTCTTCCAACTCTAGTCCAATCTGCAACTTCAAAACAAAGAATTCTTCTCTGGATCTCACACATAAACACAGCACCGTTGATTGATACTTGTGCTGCTAGGGAATCCCACACATGGCGAGAAAAAAGGACAGGCAAACAATGTTCACGAACACGCCTCCTGGTACTTGTCCGAGACCACACGCAAGCCGCTGTCGGCATATAGACTGCTGTCGCGGCTGCAAGTGACACATGTCTCCCCCAACCTCACCAAGGCCAATCATTAGCAGGCTCAGCTCCCGATATTCAACCAGTGAGTCAGGACGCTTCGGGCTGCAGGTCGTTCTGATTTCTTGGACTATGAGTCGGGTGGCTGCATGGACGTCACCATCAACTCAATGAGTTGGCATCTTGCTCCGGATCCTGCCACCCAAGAGTGCCTGGCTACAACACATGAAGCGTTGCACAGCTGTAGCAATCCGATAGGCGGCCGAGAGGTGTGTTGTGTTGATTGGCTGAGTCATGCTGAGTCTGTTCATTCAACACGCAGATTCGTTTGAAGAAAGTGATGGGAGCAAGGCCAGCGTGTTTTCCTTTATCACCCATGTCATCTACATCGCCTCCGACCAAACCCAGCCCAGGTGCACTTGGGGTCCATGCAGCAAGCGCTCATCTAAGGACTTCCCCTGATCTCGGCAGGCGGCCGTGATCCGGGCGCGGATCTGGGCGCCGTGGCGTACGCAGGGAGCGTCCGACAATGGATTCACCAGGATTTGCTTCACAAGCCTCAGAGATGTACAAGATGGAAAGCTGAAGACCTTGGAGGACCTATGATCCACCTATGATCTGGCAACCTGACCAAGTCCAAAGTGTGGCTGGAAGATTGGAGGCTTCCATAACATGGATTTTCTGTGTGTGCCAATGCTGCCACACTGCAGTAGCATTTCTGCAATATTCCGCGGTAACCTATGCACTTATATAGTCTGTCTTAGTCCTTCAGGGTTGAAGAGTTCAAGCTAGCTTCGAATGACTCGAGCCTCTCAAGCCTTCATACTTGGGCCAAGGTCAAGGCGAAGCGTCCCCAAGAGATATCTTCACCAACTCGCCTGTTGGGTCCTGGTCAACTGTTCAGATCTTCTCATGCTGATCATGTGCAAGGATGTCCAAGAAGTGCAAGAAGAGGTGCCACCAGCCCCCGCAAAGCCCAGGAAAATAGAACAGGTCCAAGTCTCAAGGCTTTGGCAGCAACAGCAATATGCTGAAGAATCAACATGAGGGTCTTAGTGTAGAGCTTTGCACAAGGTCCTCCTCACCACCAACCCAGAGAGATGCAAGAATGATCTCTCACCAAAACCTTTCCAATGGTCCTTCTGCAGAACTTGTCGCACCTAAGCTTGTGTGGATGATGTGCACCTGTCTCAACATGTCTCAACATCCCAATGTCTCAACTCATGGCAGCTGACTCAGCATTTCAGCCTCAAGTCTAAACCACCATCACCATGCCCCAAAAGCAAAAACGACCCTGCCTAGGTGGGGCAGACATTTGGTGAACTGATATGGAGCGAACTTAGCGAACTGTCCCCCACAAAAAGGGTTCAAAACCATCACCCGGAGAACCCGCCAAACCGCCGAGCGGCCACCCGATCTTGAGGAGGTTTCCCCACCCCTGCATCTGGTCGGCTGCGGCGGACCTCCACCGGAATGAGCCTCAGTTTTAGGCGGGGTGACGAATCTTCAGTTGACTAGTCATGATGCTTGCAATCTATGTGCCAATCGTGCACAGCAAAGCCCTCACAAGCAGCTACAATGTAGGCCATGCGTATTCGTGCCACTGCGCAAGGGCACAAAATGCAACAACCAACCTGCCAAAGTCAAACTTCCAGGGTGAGAGACTTGCACAAACACCTGGACCTACAGTACTACGATGTACTACGTGCGATCCAACGCATGTTTGTTGGGTGGGTTGCTAGCTGAGCACTTCCCCCACTTTGGCCACACTCACCTACATAGATCCATCCTGTTTCATCACCCAATTCGACTTGGCGTTCGTCCAAGTCATCCAAGTTGCCGTTCCAACTCATCTTCGAAGAGAGGGCGTGCATTCCCTTAGACATGCCAAATCTTGCGACAACCCCTAGAGAAAGGCACTCCGTTCAAAACGAACTTGTGCGAAAAGAATCCCGAGGATAGGACCACGTGAGGAGACTTCCTGCCCACTGAACTTCTCGAGCTCTTTTTGACCCGGTGCTTCAACGAGGCCATGCCACATGCGGTTCCAAAGACTTGGCACAGCCCCGGACTTGGATCAGCAAGGCTTCTTTCGCTGTGGACTGATGTTCACTGTCTATTTTGCATGTCCTACAGTAAAGGGGATTCATGAAAGACCTGAAACGTTGAAGAAAACCATTCCGAACCAATATGTGGGAGAACTAGTGGGCATGCTGTTGGGTTGTCCTTGACGTATCTGTAAAACGACTTGGAGCAAACTACTGCGGCCACTTCAAGTTTTGGCGTGGGATGACGTGCGTGCTCTCTTTGCATTGTTCTGGCAATCAGGATCAGCCAGGCACGACGTTTCTTACTGCGTAAATCCTGCAGAGCTGCCTAGAGCTGCACATGCTGCAGACTCGCAGGAACGGCCCCTCCAAAAAGATGTTCCCGGCAAGTTGGCCGGTGTAGCTGGGAAGGGCAAGAAGCTAAGATTAAGATGCAAAGGGTCTCAAACCATCCAGTGAGCAACAAACAGACTTGGCTTTGTGGAAGTCGGACAATTCGAAATGACTGCGTTTTCCAACAACCTCAAGAGGTAGCAGCTAGCACTTCTGTTCACTGAATGTCCAAGAGCTCAGAAATTGCACTGAATTCTCAGGCCAGAATGCTTCGAGGATCTGGGCATCGTTCGATGCCGCCTGCCCCATGGAATCCAACTTAGAACCCCCATAGCCGGACCCCTGTTCGCCGGCGAAGGCTCAAGACCACATCGAAAGGTGTCACCTCACAAGAGCCAGGGACCACGGTCCACTTAAATTCTAATTAATTATATTGATGTCTAATTGAATTATTGTTTCAAATTTCTAATAGCTTCTTGTTACTACTAGTAAGGCACTTGTTACTAGAAGCGATGCACTTGTTCCTAGCAGCTTATTGTTTCTCATGAAGATTCATGACTAGATTTGCATAGATCTTCACCAAAAGGCTGTCTTCCGCCGTGCGTGCTCGGCATACACAGCAACGTCGCTCAGGAGTTTCTGGAGGAACACCGACAGGACCTTCCAAAACGTGCAGTCAAGCCATGCACATCGGCAACATAGATAGCGCAAGAATGTTCTTGGGTGAATTCATGAGGAATTAGTGATGTAATTCAACGATGTGCCTCATCCTTGTGCAGATGCTGTGACGAATTACCTGAACCCTTCTCCGCCTCCCTCATCTCCTCCACAATGTTCGCAGACATCCTTTTCACCCCTGCTTTCCGTGCCAAACGCCTGCTTGGCTGCGTGTCAAACACCGATCTGGAGAGCACACGGAACCGGAAAAACGCGACTGGAGCAAACTTTTATTATTATATAGGCCTTTCTTCCTGTGTGTTGTTCTTTGTTTCTAATCATGGTGGCCTCCAACCTACTAGCGATGTCCTCAACCTACTAGTGATGGCCTCCAACCTACTAGCGATGGCCTCCAAGCTAATAGCGATGGACCCAACCCAATAGCAATGGCATCCAACCTACGAGTACTAGCGTTGGCCTCCAACCTAATAGCCGATAGCCATGGCTTCCAACCTACTAGCGATGGCCTCCAACCTCACAGCGATAGCCTCCAACCTGCCAGCGTTGGCCTCCGACCTACTAGCGATGGCCTCATATCGCCTCCAAGCTAATAGCGATGGCCTCCAACCTAATAGCGATGGCCTGCATCTCAATAGCGATGGCCTCCAACCTAAGCGATCATCAACAAACTTGCCTCAAATCTGGCTTGGTGATACCCTTCCTTGGTTTCAACATGTGCCAAGCTCCCAACTTCAACTCTAATCAAACTGTGGGTGGAGGAAATCCAGCACATGAATTCGGTGAATGAATCATTTTCAACATTGCTCGACTCCTGATATGTGCGTGCATGATGCTGCATGAGGTTGTCCATCAATCCCGCCAAGCAGCAAATTCTGCTGGAGCTGCGCAAAGACCCGTCCGTGGCCCTTCGTTCCTCCTTTGCCAACCGTCGGCGGGAGGTTCACGCGTGGTGCCTTGGCCTGGTTGCCCGTGCCAACTCAAGCATTGAAACCAACTTGCTGGCAACTGCAATCAAACACGTCAATGACAATGCTTTTTCACATGTGTTTTCAATCTTTTTCATGCCCCACCTGCTTTGTGTTGGGAGGTGGCTTCTTCTCAGCCTTCTGCTTGGGAGGCTGGGTAGCAGGCTTGCTTTGCGCTTTGGGTTTCGGCTTGGGGCTCGCTCTGGACTTTGGCTTGGGGCTTGCTTTGGGCTTCGGCTTCGGGCTGGGCTTGGCCTTAGGCAGGGGCTTGGTGCCCTTCTTCTCCTTCTCTGCTGTGCGCTTCGCTGGCTTCGATTTCGTCTCGGCCACGAGAGGCACGCGAGCCTTGAGGTTCCTCTTCCGAAGCAACGCAGCGATGACATTCATGCCATTCTTGAGTTGTTGAACATCTGTGGCCGGTGATTCCGGGCCCAGTTGGGGCACTGTGACCTCTCCTCTTTGAATCAACCAGGCCATGGCAAGAAGTCGTGAGAAACTGGACCCTGCAAAGCTAAAGGCTGCGGGAGACCAGGCCATGAAGGAATATGAGGCATTATATAGATGTCTATATATATATACACAGGGAGAGAGAGAGAGAGAGAGTGAGAGAGTGAGTGTGCAAGTGGCCCAGATTCCAAAGCCAGCAGCTCAGGTTCTTGCAAAAAGCAAACGGTACACATAGTACACACCGTCAAACAAAAGAGTTCCATGTTCCTCTCACACGATTCTGATGAAAAGCATGAGCATGCAGCACATGCACGTGAGGCTCATCTATTCCTTTTCGTCCTACGCCATCTCTACGTGGCTCAGATCAGAAATCCCTCTCGCCGCGTCACGCTGGTGGCGAGAATCAGAGAAGCTCCGGTTGGCCGTCGTGTGGCCTCCAGTTCGCCGATTCGATACCAGTCGGAATGAAGATGCGACGAAAGAGCAAAACTCTGACGGTGCCAACCGTTCGGTGAAAGAAACTGCGATCAACGGAGAGGTGTTGCTCACTGTGCTGCTCTTCTTAGCCGATCTGATCACGAAAGCCCAGGGTGATGTATCACCAGCGCTCATTTTTCTCTGCGCATTTGTCTCCAAGACTTTGGAACGTGTGCACTTTTGGATGGGATGATCTTGACACCAAACATCCTCAAAACTCAAAACATCTCAAAACAACTGACCGCACCTTAGCTCGGACTCCGCACCCTCCTTGACATCGGCCTCGGAGCAAGACACTGTAACCTGGATGGTTCCCATGATGTCAAGGAGTGCTCCTTCGCAATAGGGACTACAGACTGTAGAAGGCCCAAGCAAGAATTGGAGTTGGCATTTCTTTGCCCAAGGTGCGTGCTGCATACATCTAAAGTTATAGGTTATGGTAGTGGTTATAGTTGTGCTGACTAGATGATCTAGGAGGATGCACCCAAGTATACTTACCAACATCTGCAAACACTCTCACATGAAGGATCTTCAGATTCTCCCTTAGAATCTGCCGCTGGATGTATGCCTCTGAGGCCCGGTCAGCCACTTCCGGCAAGCCATCCGCCTCATGTGGCTCGTTCGCCTCGGGCTCCTGCTCCACCTGCTCCGCCTGGTGGCCTTGGGACCCTTCCTCCTCCGTGACCTCCGGCTCGGCCGTCCGGGGCACTTCGGCCGTCTCCGTTGGCGACTTCTCGATCTTCTCGATCTCCTTCTCCATCTCCCCGATCGAGGCCAATTGGCTCAGCTGGATCCGGACGATCAACTCTTTGTCACTGGAGGTCATGAGACCAACATGCTGGCGCTGGTACTCTTTCCGGAAAGGCGCCAAGACGGGGTTCGAAGGATCGGTCAGGGCAGCCTCACGGTGCTTTTCGGTGAAAGGAGCTATCCAAAAAGGCACCTCTGGCGGCTTCTCGACCTCCTCATCCAAAGGCACTGACGTTACTGGCGGAGGTGGCGGGGGTGGAGGTCCAGTAATGCCCTGAGGCATGGGACCGGTTGGACTGATCATTGGGGGTGTGGGTCGCTGGGGTCTTGGAATCTGAGGGCTCAACGTGAGTTTCTGCCGTGGTGGGCCGGGTGGGATGAGTTGCTGCGAAACCGGCAAGGGAGCCTGCTCCGCCATCATCTGTGCCTCCAGCTGCGTCACTGACATGACTGTCTGCCTCGGCCTTGGTGCCTCCATCACCGGCCCTCGGCCCCTGGGACGCCGCTCTGGGCCCACCGGTGCGTGCGCCGGTGCTCCCAAGGGAGGCCGTGGCCAGGGAGGCCCTGGGGGTGGCAAGCCGCATGCGCCAAGCGACGCGCCTAACGCACAGGGGAATGGGATGGGACATGGAGCCCGGAGATCTGGGCGGAGCGCCGGCCATGGCAAAGGGGGTGGGAAGGCTCCGTGGAATGGCGGCCTGGCGGATCTGGCGTCTGGGATAGAAGATAATCCTTCAAAGAGACCAGCAGGAGGTGGTCGGCCCTGGCAACAGACTTTTTGAAACAGCGTAGAGTGGGGTGTGAAGCCATCTCTCTCTCTCTCTCTCCCTCCCTCCCTCCCTCCCTCCCTCTCTGCTCCCTCCCTCTCTGCTCCCTCCCTCTCTGCTCCCTCCCTCTCTGCTCCCTCTCTCTCTCTAGGCTGACGGTCGATCTGTTCCCCACTGTGGGCGTGTGGGCGTGGCTGGTGTGCACAAAACAATCCAGAAAACGACTCCTTTTTGGCACGGGTTGGTTCCTGCTACCTCTCAAGAAGCAAAGAAGCCAAGTGAGCCAGGCATGCCAAAAGTGAAGGTGGATTCTCCAGCCCAAGGGACCGAAGTGCTTCAAAAGCCTCTCCTCTTGAACCTGGATATCCACATGGAGCTGGCTCCTCAAAGGAAGCAAAGGATCACCAAAACCACTCTGCAACATCACAACGCTTTAAGAAAAACAGGCGAACACATCAGAAAACTAACTGCTGGCAGTGTGGAAACTTCTCTATCCCTCTCCCATTCAGATCTTGACAACAGTTCAAATTAGGGCTGAGCTGATCTTCGTACTTTGTCATCTGCACTCTCCTGATTGGCACGCGGCTTGTGCGCCAAGCCCGGCGGGGGCGCTATAGCACCTGGCCAGGTTTCGGCCCATGACTCAGATAGGAATATGCCGCAAACAAAAACCACTAGGCAAAGTTGAAAGAAGAAAGACAACACATCAACGCTCAAGAACAAAAGGCACCCCCTACGCTGTTCAACTGGGCGTCCAACCTTCTCTGGCCAAACTGGGGCTATTTCTTGCCTGCTCAAGCTCCCGGTGGAAGGCCTAAATGGCCAAGGAAAATCTGAACCTCCCTGCGCAAAACATGCGAAAGCTGTTACATCAATGACTTGGTCGAGCCCACACCTTGATGCAAAGAGGGTCTAGTGAGCTCACAAGAATCAGAACCAACTTGTCAGTGTTCTCGGATCATTTGGGGTAACTCAGGTGGCTTGGCTACAGATGTCTATAGTCAAGACTCAAATCAATCCTACAAACCGCTCCTCCTGGGCTGCAGATGGCTGCCAGTCATCTCCAATAGGACTGGCCTCGAATTCAAAACGAAACACCTGTGATGGCCGGTGCACTTTCCCAGCCAAGTAGCATCCCCAAAAGTGTCGTCATTCAAAGCATCAGACCCCTCTGCCTCCTGCTCCAGAAATCAAACAAATTTGGGTCATGAAGGATGTGGAACACAATCCTGCACCTTGGTGCATATTTTGCGGTGTGTATATATATATATATATCTGTGTGTGTGTGTGTCAACACCAGGCTTGCTGCTAAACTACACGTCTGATCCAGCAACATTAGCATGTGACATGTGATTGAGTGAATGCATACAGGAAAAGACCGCTCCTAACTTCAAGTGCAATTGTAAAGGTCAGCTGGGTGCCACTGCCACAACAAACAAACATGTGAGCTAGTTACAGTACCCAGTACCCGGCACGCCCTTCAGTCCTGTTCATGGAATAGATCGAGGTCAGAGTGGTCTGCATGGTGGAAAGCCATTTCAATTTGTCGTCATCCCAGCAACTTGCCACAGGAAGAGCTGCCGAATGCACTATGGGCCTCAGTCTAGTTGCGCAAGAATTAATCTACACAAAACGGATGCTCTGAAGAGCTGAGTTGCAGCAGCCCATTTCTTGAAAATTGCATCTTCGATTGAACCACAGGGGCTGCGGTACGCACGAGAACACTTATGGGGCATGCAGCAAAGTAGGGATGCCTGGCGTGGGGTCGCCTTTGGCCAAATGGTTTTCGGACTGGGGCCCTCATCTTGAAACACACCTATAATAATCATTGGTTACAGCTCAAAACATAGGTCCACCTTCAGTCGCTCGCCCTTTTGCACTGCGAAAATTAGGCGTGGCATGCCCATCTTGTGAAACAAACTGCTATGTCACAGCGCCACTCCGCACACAGCGCCTTCTGCGGGTTGGCGTCTTATTGAAAGATGAGCGACATTTTCCTGGTGAAGGGGCCAACGGTTGAAAGCAAGCATTTACATCACTGCCCGAGCTCCATGCAAAGAAGCGGCCAAATAAGCCTACGTCACCTACAGTAGACGCAAGATGAAACAATTCAATCTCCGCAACGCTACCACAGGATGAACAGAAATTGGGCCATGGTGCATCCATCTTCCGGCGATTTCCTGGAGGTCGCTTCTGCTTCTTCCTTATATATAAAGTGAACTGCCATCATGACCAGCAGCAACAGGTTTAGATACTTTTCAAAGCCAAGAATCAATCCATTGCTATCCTGGACTCCTTTTTCTAATCCTTGTGTTCGGTCCAGCGCATGGCCTGCAATCTTGGCTTTCAATTTTTTCTTCAACTCCTCAGACTGCTCACATTGAGCCGAACTGGAGCGGAGTGTGGCAAACATGCGAAGCTGTTTCGTGCGTTTGAATGGTAAAGCTGAGGCCCCTGCAGAATCATCTGTCGAGGCAACACAGAATCACAAGCCAAGGGTCTTGGGGTCCAACAACGCCCAGGGTCCAACCTTGCCTGTCCCCTGCCTTTTGTGACCGCGTGAACGCCAACAAATTGCATTTCACATGTCTGATGCTGGTGTTTGTTTGTCACCTCATTCCGCACCAGTTTCTCTTCGGTTTTCGGTGCAGTTTGTAGTTGCAAATGAAATGGGGAGGTGAACCAACATCACGCCAATGATGCTGCAGTTGTGGAGGCGTATTACTGGTATGTGTCATGTTGGCGGTCGGCCTTGTGAGATATTGCAGGACGGTTGCTGCCATATCTATTGGCTCCCCAGTTCCCCTCGTTTCCCTTGGAAAATGGAAGTTCCCACAAACGTTAAAGGCGGCTATCCACTGAGTGAAGTCTCTGCAACGTTGAAAGCGGTCCTTCCAAGTCTGTGTGTTTCGAAAAGATTCAAGACGATTCAAGCATGTTTTGCAGGTGCATTGACTGCGAAGTTATGTTGTTCCTATGCGGGGCGTGGATTTGTTCAGATGGCCTGAACAACGAACATGTAGATTCCTTACGCGCAAACCCAATACTTCAAACATGTTTGATGCTCATCAAAAGGACACTTGGCTCGCAAAGGCCCCATGCTCTCCGTGAACTATGTTCTACAAAATGAAGACATGTTGAGAGGGCTTCCGGCTGCGCTTAACTGCTGATGAAAATATGGTCGAACAATACCGGCATGAGGTTCGGTCCTGCCGCGACACTGGCGGCTTCTTTGTCTCCATCTCGTCATCTGCCTCTTCCACAAAACAGCGGTCGGGGCCCCTAGACTCTAGACTCAAAGCCTCTTGCGCCTCCACTGTGCCCCCTCTCGCAGCTTCCGTGGTGGCAATACCGGCCAAACGATCCTTACGTGGCAGTGATGGTGCTGAGGCTCAGGCAGTGGTTGTGGAGCGCATGACCTAATTACATGTTTGGTGGGCAAAACCTGGAGTTGTCAACTTCAACCCTTAACAGAACATCAACGCCCAAGCTCTCGACCAGGGTTTGGTTTTGGGCCAAACCGCTGGACGAGCGACGTGGGCGATGACGTGAAAACTAAATGTAGTGGGCCGCTGGGCCGCTGCCCTGCAAATGTAGTGGGGGAGGTTGCTGGCTGACGTGCCTGCTTGGTGCCTTGGCAAGAGATTCATCATGTCAAACTGCCCAGGGTTCCCTAATTCTTTTGGACGTGGTGATGGTGACGGGCGTTTGCGGAGTATGAATTTGGATTGAGTCAAATGACTACGGCCGGGCAAGGTTCAGACTGCAACTGCAGGGATTGGACAACTACAGTCAAAGAAGTGGATAATTTTATGGAAGGTTTCCTGATGTTTCCTATATGAATTTCAATTAAATTGCCAACTGCTGTGAATGGTTTTGTATCTACGTAGTTGTATGTGTCTGGACTCCCTGGAAAGGGTTGTGGTAGGATGGGAAGGTTTGCTGGCTGATGGTTCTTCAGCTTCGAAATTTGGGTAAAGCATTGAGCTGTGAACTGAGTGAGCTGCGCTCTCCCAGTTCGGTGCGGTACAGTCAGATTCTCACACGGCATTTCCCCTGCGTGAGTTTCAAGGGGCTATAGATTATACTAATCTTTTATCTGGTTGCGAGTCAGAAAACTGATTGCGCGACTGGAAATCCGTCTGCTCCGAGTGGGGTTTTCTCTTGCAACGGATTTTTCCAAATTTATGTCATCTCTTGCGCACGCAGTGCGCTTCGAACACTGGCGTTGGGAAGCAGGTAAAAATTTATTTGCGATATCGGCAACCTGGGGTTCGGGGATGAACATTGCGGCTGTCTGGATTTGCGTGTCAAGACTGTCTGGGCTACCCCACCTGAATCTTTTAGATTCCTATAGGGGAATTCCCGTACCCTCGGGGGCTAAATTAGAATTGCGCCCCCTGGGGTTTTCACTATAAAATCTAGACACCCAAACAAAGAACAAACAATTTCAGCATATTATTTTGAATCACACCCCTCATGGTTGCCATCTGGACCCGATAAAAGCATGCTCGCCCCACTGATTCTGATATCAATATAGAATCACCCACTCCAATAACCATGTCAGGTGGATAGAGTTGATAACATTTACCAGTTGCCTTAATTCTATCGTGGGTGCTTTAAAGTGGTCCCTTAAAATTCCAGGTGCCCAGGGTGACATTCCCCAACTATAAGAGCAATCATCGATATCCACCAGGGTTTATATTCCAAAACTCGTGGTTTGTATGATGCCTCTCTATAAAACCATGGGATGTTCATAACACCCTCTCAATAATGGTCAAAATGAACCCCCGAGGGTCCGCGGCCTATAGAACACAATCCATCCCCAATATTTTCGTTGGGTTTCAAGGGCGCCTATGCAGCGTGGGTCAAGCACGCTTCGGCGTCAAAAACTTGCGTCGTAGAAGCTGGGCCCACTTGGAAACTGGGCCCGCTCAACGAGTTTTTGCCATGGGCGGCCCGCCATATGCTTGAAGCCGGCCTTGTCGTACGACGCCCCATCCACAACGAACAAAACGCCTCCTGAGAGCAACTTGTCCTGTATGCATTGGCTCCTCCGGCGGCACCGGGCGGCCGCCCTTAACGCCATGGCTGTGAAAACTCTAGAACCGCCACTGCCACAGGCTTTGCTGGGGAGACCGAGCAGAATGGTATGTCAGTTATGCAATTCTTCCGGTTTGCTTTCAAGCTGCCGGCTTGCGCAGCTCGGACATCATTTCTAAGCCCTAAGCAGTTGAATACAGGGCGCTGTTCGGATCCGCCCGTGTCGTCGGGTTTATACGTTTTAAGTGAGCGGATCAAAGGCCCGGCTCGACCGATAAGGTCACCACGCAGCCAATGGCCACAGGGAGCGGCCGGCGGTGGCCGTTGGCCGGAAAGTGCAAAGGGCATGCTTCGACCCAATGAAGACCTAGTGTGCCCACAGCTGTTTCTCATCAAGTTGTTTTTTCGAACACATGAAACATTAATTTAAATCAGAACACTATAGATAAACGGGCAAATAAGTGTGTATATATATATACAGTATACGTACATATGTATCCATATATAAATATTTGTAGACTGTTAGCTCTTAAAGTGGCAGTGCTTGTTGAGACAACTGGCTCAATGAAAGTCTAATGGCCCTTGGGGTGAAGGGCTTGTTCCTTGGTGTCTTGGACATCTCACCGTGGGCCAGCAGCACTCCAGGCACTCCCTGGATATGGTACTTCACCTGCCCCGATTGACAAAGGGTCTGATTCAGCAAGAACCCAGTATAAAGATCCCAAAACTATCCAAAACTAAACACAATGATCAAAGCCGTCTCGAATTCAAGCCCGTCCAGAAAGCTCAGCACGGCAGACGGCAGCAGACTCCATGATCGGCGACGGTAACACACGCTCCAATGGCTGCGGATAGGAGTCAGCTAGCACCGCAAGCACAGCAGACCTGAACCATGCACAAACGTGTCAGAAAAGAAAATTCCACACCATTCGTCATTTCGACTTGATCCAACGCTTCATGGCAGCGCCGATGCAATCTGTCTGCATCCATACAGCGGCCCTCTGACGCTCCTTCGTCAATCCCGATCGACAACTTGAACGAAGAACCGAGCAAAGGTTCTGGTGTACCTCTCCGTCTCGGTCCAATTAACACTGTTAAAGGACGCATGTTCCGTGGCACATTGGCATCTAAATCTATCTGATATCCTGATTGCAACCTTTGACCTATATTCACCATCCACCTGAACCGTGTCCGACGGGTTGGTGACTCTTGGTGAACATCTTCGTTGAACATCCATGGACAATACTCGGCTCGGTGAGTGGGCAGGACTCTCTTCAACTCTTCTGACTTCCAATAACTGGCTTGACGCTGGCAATTCGAAACTCATATATGGAAACCTGCCCATGCACCTGACAAATCCTTTGCAGGAGACTGCCCATAGACTGCTTGTCGAAATTCAGAAACAGACTTCCTCCAGTACCCGGCAATCATACGTCGACATGAATGGTCTTAGTTCCAGATCTCCTCAGATGGACAGCGGGCCCTTCGGCTGTGTGGTTCCTGTTGGCGGCCACGCAACGAAGCAAGCAAAAAAGAATGGATTCCCTTTGGACTGACCCACAACCCTTTTTTTCTGACCCACAACCCTTCTTTTCTGACCCCCAACCCTTTCATTTTTACCCACGCCCCTTCCTTTTTGACCTCCGACCCTTCTCCTTTCTTTTTGATACACCACCTTTTTTTTGACCGACCCTTCTTGTTTCCGCCCAGTTGATGGAGAATTCTCCACCCACCGCCAGTCGGTGAAGAATTTCTCCCAGTTCTCCATTCCGTCGGCGGTGGAGAATTCTCCATTTCCCACCCAGGCCAGATCATAGATCACCCGATCAACAACTATGGAAAACTTATCCTTCAATCACCCGTCCATTGTGGAAATGACATCCTATAGCATCTATATCTGGCATCTCACGCTCTGCTTCGAATCCCAACGACAACGATACTATTCTACTTGGCTTCCTCATTTATAAGCCAGTTCAATCTTGGTTCAAGAGCGCAGTTGGAAGATCAACGCAACTTCATCCGATGATTGCGACAACTGCACAGCTTCCGACAGGTGGGGGGGCTTTGCTGAGTGAATGACGCATGATTGCGTCATTAGATTTCATTTTTTGGGTAGAGTGCGGCGTATACGCTCTGTGAAGCAAGCAATACATTGGCACCGTTCTGACAGCACTTTTCGGCGGCGACACGTGCAATTTCATGTAGCTGTTTAACTGCATTCAATTGACCAAAAAAAGTTTGATGGTCAAAAGAGAGGTGTTGTGAATCAGAAATAAAGGGTTGGAAGAAAAGGATACTGGGGGGTCAAAAAGTAAGAAGGGTTGCGGGTCCAAAAAGAAGAGTGGTCGATGAAAAATAGAAGGGCTGTGGGTCAGAAATAAATGGCTGCCGATCAAAAAGAAAAAATCGGGAATCAAATTAAACAGTTTAGATGATCAAAAAAAAGGGCGGCAGGAACTGCGTGAAAGGATGACGCGGATGAAAAGAGAAGGCTGCAAAAGGAGGAAAGGACAGCCAGGATGAGAAATCAGCTTCCACCATTGGCACTCCTGAGGCACTTGCTCCAGGTCCTCTCCACGCGTCTGCCCCTCATAGGGCGTGGTCGGGGGTGTGGGGGGTCAAGAAAGAAGGGCTGTAGGTCAAAAAGAAAGGGTTGCGGGGGTCAAAAAAAAGGGACGTTGGTCAGAAAAAATGAGTTGATTGTCAAAAAAGAAAGGATGTGGGTAAGAAATAAAGGGTTGGAAAATGAATGCTAGGAGAAAGAAGGGTTGCGGGTCAAAATGAAAAAAGGAAGGCTGCGGGTCAGAAAATAATGGTTGTGGGCCAAAAAGACATGGTGAGTCAGGGGCCAAATTAAACAGTTCTGGTCCCGGAATCAGAAAAAATGTGTGGGTCACAAAAAAAGGGGAACCCTAGAAAGAAAGTCTTCCTGGACTACCTCATCCTGCAGACAGTCAAGACATCCAATGTAAGACACACCGATCTCCATGCATGCCAATCACGACCACAACGCAATTCCAAAAAGACTCATCCCAGAATTTTAACAAATGAGACGTTGGACGAAGATGGGCTCTTAACTCTGGGCTCCCGCACAACTGTGTCACTACGAGTCCAGCACCCAGGCACGCCAAACAAACACGTTTCCAGGAATCGGCTGCTCTAGCTGCTTCGGCGCTGCTGAGCTCGCTGCTTGGCCGAAGCCTTCTGAGCGGCCTCAACCATGATGTCCACGGCACCTGCATTGTCCAAACGCTCCAAAGTTCGCTTCGTGAGTTTGGGAGGTCTCTGCAGGTTTCCCTCAGCGCCTTATAGTGTCTGTGGC